CCTCCCTAATTTCTCTTCCCTTCCCTCTAATTACTTGATACTGGAAACACCAAGTTGGTTTCTGTTGTGTTTTTTTTTTTTTTTTTCTCTTTCAAACACAAGCTTCTTTCTTCCACCTCCTTCCCTGTATTTGTTTTTGATGGGAAAGAGATTTCAAGAAATCTCAATCCTTTCAACATCCAGCAAATTCATATAAACGGTAGTTGATGTATCCTTCAATGCCTTCAGTGCGCTTTCCTCTCTAGCTTCCTTACATGAGCTGTATTTAAAAAAAAAAAAAAAAAAAAGGCAGGATCATTTTGCAAATAGTAACAACTTGCCTTCACATCGCAGATTTACAAACAGAATCCCACAGAATATGCCAATTTACTAAGGTCATACATATTCCTACATGACAGAGCCTGAATGGAAATCCAGATAGCCTGTCAATCACTGTGTCCCTACGCCACAGTAGCAACTCCTTAAGAACCCTCTTCTGGGTTCTCTCATATTTGGATGTAAACTGATTCTCCACCCTCCGCCAGCTTACGAATTTGAACATCTGATCTCCACCTGGTGGCGCTGTTTTGGGGGGGGTTATGGAACTAGTGGGAGGAGGGGGTCTAGCAGGAGGAAGTAGGTTACTGAGGGTGAGTCTTAAGGACTGTAGCCCACCCCTCTTGCTATTAGCCTCTCTTTGCTTCCTGATCTTCAGAGATGTTAGCAAGCAGCCTCACACTCTCCATGCCTTCCCTGCCACACAGAGCCCAAACAGACCCTTCTTTCCCTTCAGTTGTTTCTTGTCAAGTATTTGGTCATAAGGAGGAAACCATAATATAGCCCACCTGCCCCGAGGCCAGATGAGAGGCCCCCGGGGTTGTTTCTTTTCTAGACCCTGAATAGAATTCATCTTCCCTAGAGTGTGGAGTTTCCTTACTGTCTTTGCCCTCCTACACTTCCTATACCACAGGAGGACTCGGGAATGCTGGTGACTCCCTGAGAGAGCGCTTCTAGAAGTTTGTGATGGCCCATTCACAATATGCTTTCATTATGTGAATCAGTGGGAAAACAAGGGGTATGACAGCAGCAGTGATTGATGGCTCCTGCCCAGTGCCTTCAGCCTTTTTCCTCCTGGTAAGAGAGGGTAGGGAGCAGAGCTAGGAATAGGGTAAGGAAAACAGGCTTGGATTTTCACAGTAGGGAGAGGGAACGGGAAATAGAGAATAGTCCAGGATCCGCCCAGGATTTTACCAGCTGCTTACTTATGCTCAAGCTTGGGCCTAACTTTTAGGACATACCATCTAGGGGCACACAACGGAAGCCTCTGTTGACTCTGAGTATTATATTGAGACCCTCTCCATCAGAGAGGCTCTAGCTTGAAAAGCCACCCTGCTAAGCCATAAGTGACCCATCACTGACACAAGGGTGTAGGGAGTGATAGCCTCTCTCTTTCAGTCAATGTCATCCAATACTCGCTGCCTTCCATGCTCTGGACTAGGCCTGGGGACACAACAGAGAGTAGATACCAATCCTCACACGTAGAGACCTCGTGTTCTGGTTCTGGTGACTCACTAAAAGTCTTCTACAGCCCCTTTCAAGGTAGTAACTCCACCTAGCATCCCCCAAAGAGCCCCCACTGCCTGTCTGTTCGCCATAGACCAGATACCACAGTGGAGGTGTGATGGAAGTCCTAAGACACGAGCCCTCAGAGGGGTAGGAGAATGCGTGTGGAGCCCGTCACGGCTGTGGCACAGCGTGCCCACGTGGAGGCGGTGGCTGAGGCATGTGCGCTAGCTACACTTGGCTTTTCATTTTGACTTTTAAATAGGGAAGGGGAGTTGGCTTCCATGAAAACAAAACAAAATAAGAATATCGTCTGAGAATCCTCAAGACCATTCACGGGCTCCATGCAAGAATCCACAAGCCAGCCAAGTGGATGCACTTGTGCTTTATCACTGATCACAATGAAAGGAAACAGGTTAATAGCAGCAGAGCAAGGTCCTGTGGAAAGTTCCGTCATGAGCATCCAGCTGCCCTCTCCCAGAAATCTTCTATAGCCAGCGTTTAACCTCTCACAGAAGGAATGTATGGCAGCTCGGGGAGGGGACGGGGGTGCTGCCAACCAGAGACGCTCACCTACGCCTTGGTATCCAAGGTTTTAACTGGTCATCACATCGATGAGCCTGAATTTTGTGGTCTTCTTGGTCACCATGTGGCTGTAGAGGTCAAGCTGGTACTTCATGGGCGTGGGACAGACCCCTTACCATACTCCACAGTGTTAGCACAGACTACCTAGTGTGGCCCAAGACTCCTAGGCAAATGATGACTGTCCTGTAAGCACGATGTATCCAGGGCTTAAAGGTTATCCTTAGCAGCTATGCACAGACTAGACATGTCTTTGAGTGTGTACAAGGGTCACAGAAGGAATCAGTGTCCCTGCAGAGGACCCTGAACACAGCAAGAGAAGACAGGTTGGAGACTTTGTCAAACTTACAGAATATATCCCTGAACTTTTTATTTTAAAGTTAAAGTAATAGGAGCATCCTCGGGGGATGTGTAGGCACACACACACACACACACACAGCATCAATGGCTGGAGAGTAGCTCCAAAGAGACGGTGGCACGTGGCACTCGGCACCCGGCACCCAGGCAGGTGCAGTGCTGACAGCTGAAACATCCATAACATCCCTGCAGCGGAAGCGATGCCTTGGCAATAAAGCGTTCGTTCCTTTCCACCTGGGCCGATTGGTTTTCAGAGGTACCTTGCTCCTGTCGGAGTGAGTCGGATGTGGGAGGCTCGGGGCCAAATTAAGTCTTAGAATTCTAAGATTCTTAGAATCAAGGACTCGGTGCTTCTAGAGCTTAAAAATAAGAAGACGACCTCATTTGGGGAAAAGATTGAACCTGAAAATTAAATAGCTTCAAAGAGAAGCAGAAGTTGCCGCCTGAGCTGGCCCAAGGGTGGTGGGTGGAAGGGACAGCCTGTTTATACTGTTGTTGGGGCTGATATCCCTGTGGTATACTCGCCTACAATGGACAAACTCAAAAGGTTTGGTAGTCCTCTCTACCAGGAACTGAGGGACTTGGGCTTGGTCGTTTTGAAAATATCCCTTAGATGATCCTTTAGGGCTTATTTTCTTTGTAAGTATGTGTATGTGTGCATCTATATGTGGGTATGTGCACATACACATGTGTTCAGGTGCTCACAGATGCCAAAGGTATCAGAACCTCTGGAGCTGGAGTTCTAGGTGGCTGTGAGCCTTCTCATGTGGGTACCGGGAACTGAACCCAAGTCCTCTTGGAAGAGTAGGAAGCACTACTAACCTCTGAACCATCTCTCTAGCCCAGATGACTTTGATGGCAATAGACAGGGTATTCTGAGGGAAAAGTAAGTGATGAAATTGGAAAGCAAGATGCATAACTTTTTTTTAATTGACACAATAATTCTTCATATTCATGGGGCGCTGGACAACATTTCCATATAAGTATACAACAAGTAATGATCAAGTGAGGGTGATTAGCATTTCTGTCACCTCAAACATCGATCATTTCTTTATGTTGAGAACATTCAAAATCTTCTCTCCTAACATTTTGAAATATATAATAAATTATTAAAAGCTGTATCTTTCTCTACTGCGCTGGAGAACTGTAGGACTTACACCTCCTTTAATTGATTTTTGGTGCCTGTTATCAGTCTTTTCTATGTCTTTCCTCCCCTACTCCCCTAGCCTCTGGTAATGTCTGTTCTGCCCAAACCAACACCTCATGTTCTCACTCAAATGTGGAAGCAGGTTTGAATGGCCCTAGATGCTGTATTAAGAAATGTACCTTATGTTAGAGGTGATTAAAGTATTGGACAATTGAGTAGCATGGCCAGATTCGCACAGCAGAAAGGGCATGGGCGGCCATAAACAGAAGGAAAGGAAACTGTTGTTGGTTGTTTTTTGCTCTTTTGGGGGGCCTGCTACCCAGCTCCCAAATAAATCACACACAGAGAACGTATTATTACTTATAAATGCCTGGCCTTAGCTTGACTTGTTGCTAGCCAGCTTTTTTTTTTGGTTTTGGTTTTTTGAGACAGGGTTTCTCTATAGCTTTGGAGCCTGTCCTGGACTAGCTCTGTAGACCAGGCTTAGCCAGATTTCTTAACTTAGATTAGCCTGTATACCTTTTGCCTCTGGGCTTTTCTTTTTCTATTCCTGTATACCTTTCTTTGTTTCTTATTCCATGGCTTGCTGTGTAGCTGGGTAGCTGGCCCCAGGGTCCTCCTCCTCCTCTGGCTGCTTCTTCTTTTTCCTCCCAGATTTCTCCTTCTATCTCTTCTCTCTGCCTGCCAGCCCTGCCTATCCTTTCTCCTGCCTTGCTATTGGCTGTTCAGTTCTTTATTAGACCATCAGGTGTTTTAGACAAAATATCACAGCTTCACAGAGTTAAACAAATGCAACATAAATAAAAGTAACACACCTTAAAATAGTATTCCCCCCCCCAAAAAAAAAACAGTATGAATGAGATGGGGAAGGGCTTAGGAGTCCATTATGGTTCTCAGCAACAGTCAGTGTAGATTCGGAACAATCCTTTCAGAATCAGAACCAGAACCTGATCTGGTTGATGGACAGGGTAAAACATAACTTAGTGCTAGGGGAAAAGGATATGGGATGATCTGTTAATAGAAATCAGAACTTGAAGGAAGGGGTATGTTGGTAGAAGATGGTGAAGCCACTGTTGAAGAGCTGAGTGTATATGTGTATGGAAGTAGCCAGGGCGTATTGGGCTGATAAGAAGATGGGAATTCGGAAATAGATATATAGGTATGTATCTGCCTTGAGGGAACCGCTAATCATCAATTGTCTAAGAACCTCAGGCCTCAGATGAAGGAATTTGGGGTCCAGATTCCCTTTGAGCATGCATGGCTTTGCTTATGACTATGGACCAGAGTCACTAGTTGATAAGTGTCTCCAAGTTTGCTGACTTCCAGACAGCAAGTGTTCCCTGTAAACTGAACGTGGGTCTTTGTTTTGCAGGATTACACAAGGGTAGTATGCCCTGTGATTGACATCATTAACCTGGACACCTTCAATTACATTGAGTCTGCCTCAGAGCTCAGAGGGGGTGAGTGAGCTAACACTTCTCCCCTCTTCCTCCTCCTGCTTCTCCTCTTTTTCTTTCTCTTTCTCCTCATGTTCTTCCCCTCCCTCCTCCTCTTCCTTATTCACTCCACCTAAAAGCAGGGCAAATGAAGACCTCCTGGTAAGTTGTCTGACATGTCCGAGTCTATCCCTTGCAATAAAATCCACTTCAGCTTGGCCAGTTCTCCCGGGACAGTGAAGGGAAATGATGGGGAAATGAGCCAGACACCCCATCCCCAGAGCTCTAGTTTCCATCTGGGACTCACCCCTTGACATGAGGGTGTAGGGAAGCTAGGAGTCCCAGGTTATGTGGGGCCTGACTTGGTCTGCCATCTTGATATTGGCATCACCCTCTCCCAGAGACCCCCACACTCCCCTGCTCTCAGCCTAGGGCCAAGTTCACTTCCACCCAATACTGACTTCCAGATGATTCTGACAGTTTGCGCCAAAACTCCCTGCTTACTTCTTCCTAAGACTCAGACCTATGACTCTCATCCCGTAATGCCCATTCTGTCACCTTTGTGCCACGTGCCTTGGCTTTCACCCTTTGTCCTTCATTTATTTACCTAGCGGGGAGCTTCAGACAGGCCCCACGGGTTAGAATGAAAGAAGAGAATTTAGAAGGAACTTTGATAACCCTGCTGTTGAGCAGACCGAGGGAGACCTGTCTTCCCAAGGACCAGTTTCCCCAGGAACTGGAAAAGGAGTAGTGGGATACGAAAGCTTCGCGTGTTCCCTGAGAAACCAAGTCAACTGGGCCAACGCTGTGTTTCAGGGTTTGACTGGAGCCTGCACTTCCGGTGGGAGCAGCTCTCCCCCGAGCAGAAGGCTCTGCGCCTGGACCCTACTGAGCCCATCCAGTGAGTATAAAGGGCTGCTGCAGCAGGGGGTGGGCAGGTTCAGGTCTACTGGACCCTTCCTGCTGTCCCATGGTTCAGAAAGGTCAGTACTGAGTGTTTTAAAAGAGTGGAAACGTGGGAACAAAAAAACTTGGGGGCAGGGAATCTCTACTTTTCCCCTTGTTCTAGAAGGTTTCTGTCTTATGGAGATTTCTGGGTAAGGGAATGGGACCTTTTAGAGACCTGTGCTGAGGAATGGTAACCAATACTCTTCACCTTCACATGGGCCATGATGGCTTTTACACCTCTGTGGGAGCCGGTTTTCGGGTTCCTCGTGGCTTGACCCAGCAGGTCCGCATAGAGGATGATTAGGACCACGGGCTTGAGTGCAGGTGTCTGGGATGGTCTGCACTTGGCTGTGCTGGGGGGTGGGGTGTCTTTTGCTCCATCCCTTGGCATTTCTATAAAAACCCTGAGGCAGAGACAGGCCGTTGGAATAGGTTCCAGGCCCTCTCGAGGCTATCCTTTATTTTTGATCTGTTTATCTCCACAATCTTAATCCTTCTATCTAATATTTCCTGCTGCTCGTACTCAAGAAACCTCTGGGAAACTGTGGGGTTGGTGGGCAAATGCCCTGCACGCCTCGTGACAGCTAACATGTAAGGGTCCAAGAACATCACATTTGGGCCTCTGGTGAGGGAAGCAATGCTTCCTAGGGCCTATGAGTCCAAGGTTTTGGTTCTCCAGTCTGTCCCAAGAGAAAGTCGTCTTCTTAGGTACTAACTTCTTAAGTTTTCTTCTTATGGACATTGCTTATCAGGGAGGAAGTGTTTCCAGAATTAGACAAACATTCCAGGAGCAGCAAATTGCCATAGCAAGGGCAAACTGAGGGCTCTTGACCTGCTCTCTAGGTTTGCTATGGAGACAAAACCCCCTTTGCTCTCTGGGCACACTAAAGTGAGGGCCAAGACCCTGAGTGTTCACAACCCTAGTCATCGATTTTGCTGATATGTTTCCTAATCCTTACGGAATTACCTTCGTGGCTCCTGCTGCTCTTGCCTACCTGCCTCTTGAACGCTTGCTCTTTCTGAACAGCGTCTCTCTGAGCAATGAAGAGCCATGCTAGGTGAAAGGAGATGCCCCCCCCCCCCAACAAAGGAGCAGGTGTATTAGTTTGCTATGGCTGCAGCAACAAGTACCCAAATTGTTTAAATGGTAGAAGCATGCACCATGGTTTAGAGACAGGCAAGGTATTGGCAGAGTTGCTTTCTCCCAGTAGCTGTCCAGGTCTCTGGGCTCCATGTGCAGATTGCCAACTTCTCCCTAGTCTCCACATCGTCTTCTTGGGATATTCACATTTGCATGCCAATTTCCCTTTGTATAAGAACCTCAGTCATGTTGGATCCAGGCCCACCCTCATTACCTTGTTTTAGCTTGATTACCTCGCTATAGACTCTGTCTCTAGAAAAGGTCACATTCTGAGATACTGGGAATTGGATTTCAGTAGCACTTTTATTTTTGTGGGTGGCGTGGGTGGGCAGGAATTCAAAATACAACATAAAGGTGAAGATTGAAATCAAGGAAGTGGGCAGAGGTCAGGACATGGCCATGCTGCTCACAGCCCTTCTCTTTCTGCTCAGTGGAGGCCAGCTTCGCTCCAAGAGCCTCACTGTGCAGAACTGGGGGAGGAGGAGCACATGGCAGCTCATTGGAAGGGTGTTGATAAGTGAAGTTTCCTGCCTGCAAGGTCAGAGAATTTACAGGCAGAGGCAGATCCTTGTTTTAGATAGCCTAAAAATATATTGGCTCTTCTGAAGAGGGGAAAAAAATTTGCCTTGAGTTCTGGACTCCCCAAAGCAAAGAGTTGGAGGATACTTTCTCATTAAATGATCCCCCGCCTTACCTTCTTTCCAAACACACAGGACTCCCATCATAGCTGGAGGGCTCTTCGTGATTGACAAAGCCTGGTTTGATTACCTGGGTAAATATGACGTCGACATGGACATCTGGGGTGGAGAGAACTTTGGTAAGTCTTTGTCTTGTGTGTCACAATCGCTATTGTTCAGTGTGGCCTGAGAACTCTGTGTCCCTAGGTGTCACATCAATTGAACAGTTACCAGGATCTGTTGGTTGGTGGGAGGGTGGTATCTAGAAATGTGAGTCCGAGTTTGGAAAAAGTCTGGTCAGGGTTCCAGACAGTGATTGTAGGAAGGTGGTCATAGCAAGAGAATTTCACCATGGCACATGTAGATACCAAGGACCAGGGACGCATGCCCAAGCAGGTTCTGGAGGGGGAAAGTGAGATGTGAAATCCAAGAGAACAAAGAATGAATACCAAGTCCATGGGGCCAGATACCGGCTGGAATTAGAAGCACTGAACTTGGGAATCTGGAGTTGAAGAAGACTGAGGAGGAAACGAATGTAGCACAGGAATGAGTAGAGCAATCCCTTCTCATCATAGTTGGGGGTTAATCACCACAAAAAAACCCTGAGGTAATTTACCCTTACCTTTTAGTGGGAAAAGAAGGGGGTGCAGAGTGGCTGGCTGCTAGACCCAGCTGCCCTGCCCTAGCTTTAGTAGTGACTGATATTTGTAGCTATAGGAAGAATATCTCAGATAAGAAGTCCCATTTCACCCAGCTAGTAACTCTAAGTTATCCTCTTTCTCTCCGTGGGGCAGTGTAGTTTGATGAACAGCTCTCCTTCTTGGAGGTGCTATGCATATCTTGAGGTAAGTAAGATTGGTAGTATCCATCCCATGGGCATGTGAGTTTCTACCTAGGAAGTGAGACCTAATGGGTCTGGTTTATACAGTCTGCTTCGCCCTTGAATATCTCCATCCCTCAGTGTGCCTAGGGCCTGTTGTGCAAGAAGCCCGCAATGACTGTTGGTTGAGCAAGCCAGTCACAGAAGTGTGAGAGGGAGAGTCTTTATGTGAGGAGTGCTTCCCCTCTGTGGGCACTGGGGGGAAGGGTGTGCTGGCATGGGCTTGGGGAGCAGTACACAGGCCAGAAAAGTGATCCATGGGCTCATCCTGGCGTTATGCACTGCCACTGCTGTCTCCCGTCCCTGCCCTCAGGGTGTTTTATGGCTTTCTTCCTCAGTCACTGAGAATTATTTCTCAGAAATTTATGGCTTTGGCCTAACCCGCAGCATCTGCTCCCCCAGCCTGGACAGGATAGAGGAGAAATCTATCAGGAAATTGGTCTCTTGCCAAGGTAGGGGTCAGACTGGAAGCATAGTGAACAAAACTGGAATCTCCAGTCCCCAGCACACAAGTCAAGGGCGACTCCTCTCCTGGGGGAGTCAGTCCTCGATGGTCCCGTGGAATGTAACAGAGATTGTGAATGTGCTGGTGTGGGGGTTCAACGCTAAGTTTGCCTACAGCAGCCTCGGTGAAGCCGGGTATCTTACTACACAGAACCATTTACTTGCAAGTTCCCCAGGCACACGGCACTCCACTCACATCGTCACACTTAGTGAGAAGTTCCAGCCCTCCTTCCCACCAGCAAATAACTGCTCCCTGCAGCCCATCCGACAGATGGCTGGGATTTCGGTCTCTGCCCCGATGCCGCTCGTAAAGATTCAGAAACCGTTTCTCTGGTCGGCGTATTCTGGGTCGAGAATTTTTTTTTTTTCCTTTGGTTTTTCGAGACAGGGTTTCTCTGTGTAGCTTTGCGCCTTTCCTGGAACTCACTTGGTAGTCCAGGCTGTCCTCGAACTCACAGAGATCCGCCTGGCTCTGCCTCCCGAGTGCTGGGATGAAAGGCGTGTGCCACCACCGCCCGGCGAGAATTTTGTGTGTGTGTGTGTGTGGAATTGTTAGAAAACCCTTCAAGTTCCAGCTCGGCTCCATCCAGTTTGTCTGCCGGGGTTCTTCCTGTCCTCTTGAACTGCACAAGGTGATGATGATCACTCTGGGATGTGGCAGTCTCATTTGGATGCGGGCAGCGCTGTCGCTGGCAGGATGGCACCTTCTGGTCCCACTTACCCGGCACCTTCCCTTCAGAGCGATGTTAACGCACGTAACACACAGCTGCTCAAATCAAGATGCAATCTCGTCGAGCCGGCTTCTGAGTCGGCGTTTGGCATCGCCACGGGCTGATTTGAATAGAGAAGTTGGGAAACGGTCCCTGGGAGGTGTGGGAGAGATGTTTTATAATCCATCCCAAGATTTTTGAGACCACGGAGAAGCACTGTAGACAGCCACCGCGGACGGCAACCGCTTTGTTTCCCTGCACCCCAGCATCCTATTATGTTGTAGCCAGCTCACCACACTTTGAAAGACTTTTCGGGAATTTTTCCCCTTTATTTTATTTTCTTCTCCTTCTTCTTCTTCTTCTTCTTCTTCTTCTTCTTCTTCTTCTTCTTCTCCTTCTCCTTCTCCTTCTCCTTCTCCTTCTCCTTCTCCTTCTCCTTCTCCTTCTCCTTCTCCTTCTCCTTCTCCTTCTCCTTCTCCTTCTCCTTCTCCTCCTCCTCCTCCTCCTCCTCCTCCTCCTCCTCCTCCTCCTCCTCCTCCTTCTCCTCCTCCTCCTCCTCCTCCTCCTCCTCCTTTCTCTCTCTCTCTCTCTAAATTTTTATATACCAGAAAACAAAGAACCGTTTTCCAAGAATGGCTACATCACATGATTGTGTACACAAAGTGGGGCCAGGAGTAACATTTGCAAGATAACCAGGCCTAAAAGTAGGAGAAGGGTGAGAATGCTAAGGTGGGGGTCACGTGATTGATGATCAGCTGTCTGGATGGAGAGTGTGAGCAGTGCTTTGGCTATAAAAGAAGGTAAAAGATGCTGCCTCTCAGAATAAAGGAATTCTGTCTATAGGCTCTGTCAGGGGATTCTCACCTCCCCATACCCATACCACCAAGTTACCAAGTCCTCAAGATCCGAGTCAGTATCCCTCTCACCTACCTTTTCTCTCCATCCCAGCCAGGCCTTTGACAAATGGTTCTCCATCGATGTTTATTGCTGTCAAATCTACTCTTCAGCTCCCAGCATGAGAGGCAAGCCTCGCAGGTCTTCATCCACAGCTCTGCCTCCCTCCCATGGCATTGTCTGTCTTTCCAAGCTCACCAGACTTCTCCTCCCACTTCCAACCTCTGTACACTCTCCTGATCTTTCAGACTGTTCAGGTCCTCTACAAGGATGGAGCCTCCTTATCCACCCACGGTGAACCCTCTCAGATGGCAAGGGCAGGTGACCTCTTCTACTACCGGGACACACTCTCTGCCTTCTCCTTTACTACCCACCCTTCCCCCACCCACCCACTCTGCCAACCCGTTTCCTCCACACAGAGTTTCTTTATACCACCATTGTGCTGACCATCTGAGAATGTTGTATCTGTCCCATTGTCTGTCCCTGTCCTGATGCTGGCTCCCTTAAGGCAAGAGCAGAAAGTTCATCTCATTTCTGGTTCTCGGAGCCCAGAAGAGTTGAAACTGCTCACAAAATGCATGTGTGAAAAGCGAGAGACTGAATGGAAAGGGATTTCTGGGTGGGAAGGCAATCCAGACACAGATGTCTCCCCCATGCTCAAACCTACAGATGCTCAAGTCCCTTATATAAAATGGCATAAAATTTGCGTAGAACCTATGTGCAAGCACTTGTATTTCTTAAATCACGTCTCCATGACCCATAATACATAATACCGTGTAAAATACTATGTAAACAGTTGTAAACTATGTGATTTAGGGGAAGATAGTGAGGAAAACAGCTATACATGTATGCTCAAAACAAACACAGTTGTTTTCTATTTTCAATAAAATACTAATCCACGGTTGGTGGAACGTGGGATGAGGATGTAGGACAGGCGATACAATACTCGAGGTACGAGTAGTTTACATTGAACACAGTGGGGCCATGTTTGAGGGGTCTCTTTGATTACGTCAACAATAGCAGCAGGCTGATGTGTCCATCCTTTCCAGAAAATAGACCCTCTGTGTGCTCTAGATATGTTTACCTATGTAATGTGGACTTGGGTTCTCAGCTCCAAAATTCCGTGCGCTCTTTGGCCGGGGTGACTGTGACTGAGCCCGCTCCTACCCTCGCCCAGCCCCATCTCCGCTTCAGAAGCGGCTGCAGATGGATCGATGGGCTGCAGGGCCTTGGAAAAGCCATGCTGTGTCTTGGTTAACCTCCCCACCTGCTGACCCTGGCACTTCATTTCCACCAAATGTTTCTAAAATGAGCTGAGCACTTTTGATAATTATATCCACAGTTTAGGATATGAGCAGGCTTTAGGGAAATGTGGCTTTTAGATTTTTTTTTTCCCCTCAGAGGTTGATTTGCATTAAAATTGGATACTTAAACTCCAATTTACATAACACAGGATACATGTAATATATCTACTTACTCTGAGCTGAGCGACATCTCACTTTTAGCTTTTGGTCTCTAGAGGGAAAAAGGAATCTGTTGCTAGTCACAAAGTGTATGTGCAGCGGGGTGGGGGGTGGGGGTTCGTATTTCCAAAAACAGGAAGCTCGGGCACATATGCGGGGAGAATATGGGATCCCTGAATTTAGAATGGGGGGTTTCCAAAGCACAGCAGGCACCAAGGACAGTGCTGAAAGGAGAGATGAGGTAGAGCCTGAAAGAGACTTGCCACCACCCACCATCCTCAGAATGGAGACTAGGATGCCAGGCTATTCCAAGCTCAGGGGATGTGTGTGGTACAGGAAGAACCCAGACCGTGAGATCAGCCAGGAGTAAGTTTGAAGCCCATAGTTATCAGTAAGTACCCTTGAGAAAGTTACTTCATCTCACTGAGCCTGTTTCTAGGGCTTGAAAGTAGAAATGGTGATCTCGAAGGTAGGGTGAGCAGCCCCCCAAAAGATATCCACCCCCCAAATACCTGGACCCTGTTAGGATGTGACACAAGATTTTTAGGTAATGTGATGAGGTCACTAATCAATGACCTGAAGTTAGGGGATTTTACAAATGTGTCCAATCTAATATCACAGGACCTCTAACATCAGAGAGCTTTCTTAGGCAGCAGAGAGATGGCATAAGCCAGATGCCGTGATCCAAA